CAGTGAAAGTGAAGCTAGAAAACACAATGAAATCAAGTAGTCCATGTATTCTGGCATTCCTTAGATTTAAGGACCCTGCCAATGAATCAAAAAATGAACAAAAATACACAATATCTAAAATAAAAGTAATTGTATGAACTTAATAGTAGATTGGGTACTGCAGAAGGAAAGATCCATAAGACAGAGAGAGAGAAAAAAACATTTAAAAACAGAAGAAAAAGATAATGCAAGAGGTGTTAGATCACCATTGATTTTTCTGGCTGAGTACAACTCCATGGTTTACATATACTGCATTTTACTAATCCACTGGATGGAGCTGGAGCCCATTGTACTAAGTGAAGTATCACAAGAATAGAAAAACATACACCACATGTACTCACCATCAAATTGGTATTAGTTGATCAACACTTATGTGCACATATAATAGTAACATTCATCAGGTGTCAGGCAGGTGGGAGGGGGGAGGAGGGGATGGGTATATTCACATCAAATGGGTGTGGTGCACACTGTCTGAGGGACGGGCACGCTTGTAGCTCTGACTTGGGTGGGGCAAAGGCAATACATGTAACCTAAACATTTGTAGCCCTGTAATATTCTGAAATAAATAAATTAAAATAAATAAATACAGAAAAAAAGAAAGAAAGAAAAAGAGTGGGGTTTTAGTGATGTGTGTCTAATTTCAAGTGGTCTAAAATATATGCTACTGGAGCTGAAGAAGGTGAGGAGGGAGTAATGGGGGGGGGAAATATTTGAGGATACACATAGCCAAAAACTTTTCAAATTTGAGGAAAACAAAATCTTACAAATCCAAAATAACAAATAAACACAGGCATGTTAAAAAGAAAACAAATGACAATGATACCTAGTCTTGTTAGAAGATAAAGAGAATATCTAAAGGCAAGTGGGGAGGGAGTCACATTACATACAGCATCAGTACAAGCCATTGCACAAAGAATGGTACCAACAAGTGCTGAGAGAGCAAATTTGTCAACAGAATGCAACACTAAGTAAAAATGTTCTTCAAAAATGAAGATGAAAGACTTCTGCATCCAGCTATGACAGAGTAATTGAAACCAGACTTGTCCTACAGTAGCAAGCAAATAGAAAAATGAAAGAAATATTTGAAACAATTTTCAGAGATTACAAAATGGACGTTGTAAATGGATTACAATGCAGGATATTGATACTGAGAGAAGAAAAACAAAAGGTAAGAACTATAATTGCCCCAGCTCTCTGTCTAGAGTGATTATTTTGTTGAATTTCAGTGCACGAAGTAAAGCATGACAATCTTGATGAGATGAAGGGAAGAAAATAAAGTTGGGGAGACTGAAGTGCCTAGAACAGGGAGCTACATAGAGGAAGACTGCCAGAAAGACTGTGTAGGGGTTGTCTAGACTGTCTGTCTGAATACTGAACTTCAACAACCTGGCTGAAGAACATCAACCAGGGGAAAAACAACCGGGGATGTGTGAGATAAACAACTATTGGAGTTTGCACAGAGTTAGAAAACTTCCTAATTCTGACTAGCCATACTCGAGAGACCTAATTGAAAACCTATGACACTCAGTCAAGACACCAGGAATAACAAGCATTAGTAGCAGAGCACACTAGTCTTACAGTGAAGGCTACTTTAAAGCAGCATTAGCCTTACACATAAGCTTTGAAGGAGTCAACATGATACGCAAGTATGTTAGAATGCCTACCTAAGGAATAAAATATCCTGAACATTCTTTAAAGTAAGATAACAAATTCAAAAAATTAAGGATGCAGCCAACAAGTATCCAATCAATAATTAATAGATACAAAATAGGCAGGAAAAATGTGATCAGTAACTAAGAGAAAAGTAGGTCAATAAAAAAGTCCCAGAAATAATGTAAATGATATAATTTACACAGAGGAGCTCTAACGCACTGATTACAGATGGGCCCCAACTTACAGTGGTTCGATTTATAATTTTTAAACTTTATGACAGTGCAAAAAGCAATATGTATTCAGTAGAAACTGTACTTTGAATCTTGAATTTTGATCTTTTCAATAAATCATGAGATATTCAACACTTTATTATAAAAGAAGCTTTGTGTTAGATAATTTTGCACAAGTGTATGCTAGTATAAATATTCTGAG